AGCTGATCCTCTGCAGGTGTGGGAGGTATCAGACTTTGCTGCTACCATTGTCGGGTTTAAGGGCTGAACTCAATCTCTGTGTGGTGACAGGGTAAATAAAATCCCTTTCTAGGATTTGTGTCAAGGCCTGAATTAGTGCTGTTTGGTTTTTCAGTCTGGAATATCTGACAAGCCTTGGGATGAGGCTGTGGTTTCTAGAGAAAGACAATTGGCCAGCTGGGAGCTGTGACTTCCTTCTGTCCTCATGACTATTCTAAGTAACTTTGACCTAAAGAAGCCACATTGAAGTGCAGAAGAAGATTACTCTGGAGAGCTTCACTGCTCTTCTAGTGCCTGCGGAACACTCAGGTAGATCCCAAAACCCCTGTGCTGTCCCTTCATACATGCAGGAGCTCAGGGAGAAGGGGGATACAGTTGGGAGTGAAGTGTTTCCTGATGTCAGAAGTCTCTTGAGATGCATCTCATCACTTCATTAGCTAATAAAGCTCACAGGAGGTGACTCATGCTCTGTCTTTGAGGTCCTGCTTGCTGTTCCCCAGTTGAGCTGAAACAGGTGATGAAACGGGAATCTACTTTTTCCATCCTGGTGCTGAGTTCCTGTAGAACACTCTGTAAGCAATGGAAGAGCTTTAACTGGTAACACCTGGATACAGATGCTTTCCTGACCATCAGAGGCATGAAACGTCCTGAGCTCTTCCATGACTGGTCTCCAAAGAAATATGCCTTTTTTGTGGAGGTTCCATGATAAGTGGTCCATGCCTTTTTTAATATTCCATTGAAGTCAGGCTTGGGGAAATCAAATTGCCTCTTCTTGTCAGATGCTGCTGTTCTGCTCTCTGCAGCAATCGCTCATGGAAGTGCTGTGCTGAGGCCTTTCCAGGGACTGTGAGGCCACAGGGACTGAAGCTTCTAAACTAGAGTTCAAGCTCCTGACCGTGATCACAACAAACAGCTGGAGCACTGAAGCATTTCCAGAGGGAAGCTGAACTACAGAGTTGATTTGGCCATCCCTGGTGCACTACTTGGTTGAGGCTATGAGTGTTGCAGAGGAGGCTTAGTGTAGGGGTAGCTTTATATAATGCTAAAATTACACTGCTTTTTTGGTTTTTAGGAACATTTTTGAGAGATGCAGTATTTTTTTCTTAGTGCAGAAAGAAAGAAGTTAGGGATGAAGAGCAGGGTTGAAGGTAATATGCTGGTTCAGGTGGATTGGGAGTGTCCTGGCTGGAATCCATACTCCAGTGATGTCTCCTCCTCAGCTAAGCTTGTTTGTATCACTTCTATCTAGGTGAGAAGTGCTATGAGCAAAGATAAAGCAATCTTTGTTGTGTAGTAACAAAACTTACATGAAGAAATGTCTCCTATAACAGTACTGAGTCATGGCAGCTTTAGGAGGTGGAGGCTGAAGGCTGCTCTGACCTTTTCTGATGATAGAAAGAACCTCCTTGTGCAGGCTGTGGAATCCACAAGCTTAGGGGACTTGGTATGATAGTCTGGTGAGAGGTGTTGGGGCAACATTGGCTAGTGAGAGGTGTCCTTGCCCGTGGGGTGGGGCTGGATGCTCTTTAAAGTTCTTTACAACCCAAACCACTCTGTGATTCTGTAACTCCCTGGAAGTTGAGTCTTCTGGCTGTGGAGAGGCAGATGAAGTAGGCAGAGCGTGGCTTTGGAGCTTTTTTTGACTCAGGACAGCTGGAAACGGTGGATTTAGTAAGCAGCTTGTTGTAATGTTAACTGACTGTTAAAAGAACCTAAACTTGAATCCTCTGTACAATGCTGGAAGGTTGTGTGATGGCAAGTTAAAGGAAGTTTTCCTGTGGGAGATGAGCTGTGCCTGGAGCTGGCTCACTGCTGGCACCTTCATCAGTGCTGCAGTCTGTGAGGGCAAGTGCTGATACTGGATACAGGGGAGCTGAGCCCAGGCTGAGCCGTGGAACACAGTGCAGGGATTGAGTTCACTCTGAAACAGTTCTGCTCTGAGTGATCCTTATCCATCACAAGTACTCCCCCAGATAAACGGGCTCGTGTTGCACTAAAATCACGTGCTTGGGTTCTCCAGGAGCTTTGAGTATCCAGAAGGAGGTACCTCTTAACCAGGAGGCTTAAGGACCAGTCCTGTGGGTTCCTTCTGCATGTGGCCTCTGAAATTCAGGCTGTTTAGTCTCCCTTTTGCTTATCTCCCACACAGGGGTTAGAGTTGACTCTGTTGGGTGACCTTCAGTTTGTATTAGCTCTGTATGGTCTGTGTGACCTCAGAGCCAACAGCTTAATCCCTAATCACTCCTGGGACACAAGGCTGCTGTGCCAGGAGCCTGCAGGAAGCACAGTTGGGATGTTCACAAGTGCTGAAAACAAGACACTCTTAGGTTTGTAAGCAACTGCTCTTGCTGTCCTTGGTGAGCTTTGAGCAGTGCTGCTGTGTGTGACAACGGCCAAAGGCTTCCAGATCAGGAACTGAAAACACTGCTCTGCACATCGGGCTGGTTTCAAAGCTGGTGCTTGGTTCAGGAGGAGAAAACCTCAGACTGTGAGCACACGGTGCCAGGGCTGAGTAATCTGCTTTAGGAGGGAAGTCTGTTTCAAACAGAGCTGCCTACTAGTAAGAGCATATTCCCTTTGTTCCGCTGTGCTGTGAGTAGCTTTTGCATATGAATACTCCAAGTTGAAGCTGAATTCCTGCCTTTTTTTCCTCTGTAGAGGTAGTAAACAAAAGCCTTCTGAATTCTGGGTTTAGAGAAGTGTTTCTGGGCCAAGGCAGCTGAATACAGTAGCAGAATCCATCAAAGGGGATCACTGCCTGCTAGCAAAACCCATTGCAGTCGTTTTAACCGACTTCTGACCTGTCTTCAAAGAGAAGGTGACTGGCAGTAGCTTTCTTTGGGTACCCTGTGAGCAGAGGATCACCCACACATCTTCCAAGTGAAGAGCTGAGTTGATCAATAAGCTCCTGTCAGTGCTGGATTGTCCCTCTGCAAAGCAGAGAACAGACAGCTGAAGCTCAAGTGTAACTGAGGACTCTGCAGTGGAGGTTTTAATCAAGTCAGAACAAGTTTTGGGCTGTGCAGCGTGGGCAGGGAGTACGTGGAAAATAATGTAAGACACAGCAGCTTTCCTGAAGGTTCTGTCAAAGTTTCCTTGTGGATCACAGGAGTTTCTTCAACATCACATTGGACTCGTGGCAGGTGAGATGCTGCTCTATTCTCAGGAACCTGCATCCCAAAAAGAGTGAGGACAGCATGAAATTGATGCTGAACACCCTGCAATCAGTGGGATGAGCAGCACCCCTGGAGTGCTGCAATGGATGGCTGTAAACTCTGGGAGAGGCTGTGGGGTAGGTGTGTGAGTCAGGGAGTGCTGGCACTGTCTACAGCTTGGTGATGGCCATGATAAGGTTGAGTGTTTATGGCAGGAATCAGGGGAAGGCCAACAAGGCAGATATCCTGGTGGAAGACTGTTCTAGACCACCCAACCAGGATGAAGAGGCAGCAAAACATTCCTTAAGAGCTGGGAGAAGTCTCACAATTGCCAGGCCTTGTTCTCTTAGGGCACTTCAACTTCCCAGATGTCTGCTGGAAATGCAGTGGGGAGGAAACAGTCTAGGAGATTCCTGGAGTTCCTATTGATAGGCACAGCTCTTGAGTGAAGAATCTGGAAGTATCTGAGTGGGAATAGCTGGCAGCAGCAGCACAGAGGGAGGTTCAAGGAGTGCTTGGGAGATGAGTGGTTAGGAGCTGTAGGTGGAGGGGGGATGCTGTGGTGCTTGAGCAACCCTGGCAGGTGATCTTTCAGGGGCAAGTGACCCTTCAGAGGCAAAATTGGCTTCAGGAGCTGAACTCATCAGCCAGGGAAGCACAGCTAACCATCAGCTGCTGAGCTACACTTCACTACACTGCCTGGAATGGACATGGGTTCCAGGGCAGGGACAGGGAGCTCATGGACACCCACCTTGCCAAGCTAGCAGGAAGGTTGGAATGGGTTCTGGAACATGCTGCAGGAGACTGGTACAGGCTCCTCTGTGCAGCCCTAGTCCTGCTGTCTATGCTGCTCCTGATCCAAGCCAGGAGTTATTGCCCTCCGTGGCCACCTGGTCACACTCAGTGGCTACTTCCAGCTTGTTGGGCCTTAGCTGCAGCGTGGTGTGATGTGACTTCACCCTTGTTTTTCCAAATCTGGTTGGCTCTCTGGTTTTATTACACATAATGGATGTAGTGAGCTACATAATGGTCACTGTGGCTGATTCCCTTTCTGCCAAACAGCCAGGGGGGCAGAGGAGAAATCTGTCCTGGTGTTGATAACACTTGTTATGGCTCCTGGGTTGGCTGCAGGAGGTAGCTGTGAACTTGGCTCTCAAGCTGCTGCAGATAAAAGTGTAAGAGATAGTGAACCATCTGACACCGGAGAACCTCTCTAATGCAATGCTGTTTGCAGCAGTTCTGTCAGAGCCTGAAGTGATGCTGAGTGTCTCCTGGAAACAGGCTGAAATACTCTCCAGTTGAATTGCATTGTCTCTCTGCCACAGCTGAACAGGTTGGACACTGGCAGGAAGCTGACCCGTCAGGTCCTTCCACTTTGCAGCCTCTTAGCACTCCTCAGGGAGTCTCCCCATACCTGTGGGCTGGAGGCTTCCTCCACTGAGTGATTTATTGCTGAGAGTGCTGTCCCTGCCTGCATCAGAGGGAGATCTGCTGGACATGCCTAGCTCCCAGGTAACTGGGACATCCTGACGTACAGGCCTTGGCTCCAGCAGGACTGGCTGAATGGCTCTTTGCCTCCCCTTGCCCTGGCTGTCACTTGGCTCCCCTGACTGCCTCAAGGCTCGAGAAATTATTTCAGAGCTTGTAAGAAACGAGTTGACTGACTCCACACAAGCTTCAGTGCACATGGATGTAACATCTCTGACTTCTTGGCTGTGAAGCCTTCATGGTTAGCAAAAGCTTGTGATATTTTGCTACCCAAACCAGCTGTGTCAGATAAGCACTAAATTTAACTCTTCTGTTTTTTCCAGTCGGGTCAGTTCAGTGAAGATATGATTCCTACTGTGGGCTTCAACATGAGGAAAGTCACCAAGGGTAACGTTACAATAAAGGTATGTTACCACTGCTGCCTGTTCCAGCTTCTGCTTTAAAATTGACATGTTTGCTCTGTTTTGCTTCCAGCCTTGGGACAAATATAGAAAACTGAAGAGGCTCAGATAAATCTGTCAAGTAGCTTAAGAAGACATTTATGTTTATTTATGGAGTTTCTCAAAGAAGAATGTGTGTGTGATTCCCAGGTTCATGGACTAGTTAAAGCAGTGTTGTGATGATGCTGTCTGGCTTGAATCTGAGTTCATTCTCACATGGTTAGGGCTCAGAGATCCTTCTTTCCTGCTCATTGCTTAAGGGAATTCTGACATCAAAAGCAAAGCTTTAAGCCAATAGATCTTATTTTCCTGTATGGTACAGTGTGTAACCTTAGCACACAGGTGTGTTCTTGCAAGGTGCTCTCGTTTGTATCTCCTGGGCCTGAGCAGCTGCACAGAGGATTGTTTCTGTTTCACCACGTGAGAGCTCTGCCAGCTGGAGAGAGAGAGAGGAGAAAGGAAGAACTGTGGTTTGATTTATGTTATCTTTGCCTGGCACAGTTCCTGGCTCAATTGTCTTTCCCTTGCTTGCAGATCTGGGATATAGGAGGGCAGCCACGATTCCGGAGCATGTGGGAGCGATACTGCCGAGGAGTCAATGCTATTGTGTGAGTGCTGCCTTCCCTCAGCCCCCACTTCCCTTCCCTCCTGTGTGAGCCCTCCCAGCAGTGCATGTCTCACTCTGTCCTGCTCCTTTGAACTTGGAAAATACTACAACCACACTGACCTGTTTTATCCTTAAGTTCAGAGCTTAACTTGTTACTTTCTTATCGGTATTTTATCTGGAGTACTAACTCCTTCCTGCTCTTCCCTCTGCTCTTCCTCTAAGATCCTCCTGCTCTGATCTCAGAGAGTTTCTTTAAAAGAGCCAAAGTCTTTGCTCAGGAGGCCTAGCTTTGTTGAAAGCCTTGTTGAGTGTGCCCCAAACCAGCAGTGTAAAGGCAAGAGTGATGTTTCTGAAGCAGTTCAGTCTCACTGACCTAACCTGGAACTCTCTTTGAAGCTACATGGTAGATGCTGCAGATCGTGAGAAAATCGAAGCCTCTCGAAATGAGCTGCACAATCTCCTAGATAAGCCACAGCTACAAGGAATCCCTGTAAGTCATAGCACCTGGGACAGCATTCAGTGTGGGTGAGGGATGTGCATAACTTTAGCAACTCTGAAGTCTGCCTTGAACCCTTAATTGTAAGGCCTAACCTTCCTGGTCAGTATTAGCATGAGCAATACCTGCCCCAGTGCCTGAAGTCAAACTGTTGTCCTCAATCAATCCCTCAGTGATCTGATTTTCTTCAGTGCACACAAAACCAAATGAATGAAATTGAAACAGCAGTTTAGAGGATCCCACAGTAGGAGCCTGTGCTCTCCTCTGGAGGTTAACCAGAGTGTGGTACAGGAGTGTGGAGCAGTCTGGGGAACTTCAGATGAAAGTCTGCGAGAATTGTTCTGTTTTATCAGCTGATGTGTTCTCATGCTGTTCTTTCAACATGACAGTTCATTTGTGCCTCCCCGTTCCCCATGACTAAGTCTGTTTTCCTCCTTGATCTGGTTTAGTAGTGACTATCTCATTCCATGTAATTCAGTAGGCAGGTGCAGACTGAGACTCCCTTGAAGTGCGTTGGGTTTGGGTGGGATTGGTTTTTTTTGTTTCATGTTTGTTTAGGGTTTTCTTTGAGCAAAGCTGCAACCGTTTCCTTCTCCTCTGGATTTCAGGTTCTAGTACTTGGAAATAAGAGAGACCTTCCTAATGCTTTGGATGAGAAACAGCTAATTGAAAAGATGTAAGTCTAACCCTTCCTAAAAGTGGCTTCTTTAGCTCAGGTTCCTGTACCTAGGGTTGTTATTAGGTCAGGAAGCAGAAAACGCAGCAACAGGAGGTAGCTGAACACAACTTATGTGGAGAAGGTGAGGGGGCACAGATTCTCAGCATAAGATCCTCGTGTGAGTGAAGTGTGTGCTGACATTTTCTCTCTCTCCTAGGAACCTTGCTGCTATTCAGGACAGAGAAATCTGCTGCTACTCAATTTCTTGCAAAGAGAAAGATAATATAGGTAACTGTTCACCCAAAATGCTGAGCATGATGAAGAGGGTGGACTGGGGGGTTGTAACTTCTTAGGCCAAAGCTGCCTGGCTTCAGGAAAGTGGAAACAGATCAAGGACAATGTGTGAGTGCACTGGTTGAAGTCAGCAGAGCTCCTGGTGGCAATGAGAAGCTTTGACTGATATTAAACTTGGAGGGGTTGAATTACCAAAATATGTCAGTCCCTGGGAAATCTGTTCCTTCCTTTAGGAAGTTTGCAGAAATTAGCTGACTAGTCTTACTTAGCCTAAGTGATTTGTAGTTCTGTGAGGTGCTCTCAGCACTGCCTCACTCTGTGAGGTTAGTGAAAACTTGCAGCAAGTTTTCTCAAGTCACTCCCTTGAAATAATCTCTCGCTGTCTTATCAGAGCAGTTTATGTTGTGGCATCTGCTGCTGACTGCTCCTTCAGCCAAACACTGCATTTGGCACCGACACTATAGCTTTAGGAGCTCTGGAGTTCAAGGGCAGAAATCATATGCTGGGTAAGATCTGCTGTTTGACACTAGTTTTGTAAGGAAACAGAGTCACCTCAGCTGAGTGAAAACAGAACTTGCCATCCTTTTCCTGGTGCTCTCCTGTGGCTGCCCTGGGATTAACACAGGTGCTCTGGCAGGCTAACAGGGGTTTGATGATAAAACCTGAGGCTGGTGCTCCCAGGAACAAGCTCCAGAGGGTACCAGGATTACTTTAGATTAAGGACTCAGCTGCTTTCCAAGAAAAATGAATAGCCTGTGGAACAACTCTGGCTTCTTTTCCAAGAAGCCTCTGTGGCCATCAGTTAAAGATCCTAACATGATGGAGAGAAGCAGATAGTCCTATCATATCCCACACAAGGCTCACAGCAGAACTGAGCACCTGAGGCTCCAGGGAAGGAGCTGCTGAAGCATGGGGCAGGTGTGATTGCCTTCCTTAGGAAACCCTCTTTCAGGCATGGAGAAGCTTTGTTCTCCTCAGGTGAGGAGCTGCAGACTGGCTAAATAGAGCAGTGCTGGTCTAAACCCAACTCTTGGAGCCATGTAAGTATCAGGTTGAGGGATGTGTTTTTCCTGGAGGTGTAGATCCTGAGGAACCAGGATGTCTGGGGCAGTGCCTGTAATTGTTACTGAAAGGATGCTGGGCAGGTCCAGGAGCAAAGCACTGACAGCAAGGATTCCAAAATCATCCTGTTCTGCCTTGAACCATCCTTTAGGGAAGGGCTTGGATACTCCTGCCCTGTATTTGGGAACACTGACAGCAAAGCCATGGCAGCTGCACAAACACCTGAACATGGACCTTCTCTTGTCTCTCTCTCTGTAGATATCACGCTTCAGTGGCTTATTCAGCATTCAAAATCTAGAAGAAGCTGAAGTCTTCCTGGAATCTCCAGTACCAGTTGGCCATAATCTCAATTGTCCACTTCCCTCCATAATGAGATACTTCCCCCCAAATCCTGTATCCAGAATCTGCCTTTTCACGGTTCATTTCTCATGTGCACTGCTGAAGACTTGTACTCCTTATTCTGTCACAAACCAACTAGAGTTGTCATGATAAAGTCAGCACAAGTATTTATTTGACAACCATGTGTGGTGGGAGGGCTGTGGGGGGGCTTTTTAACCAATAGATCTCTACCATGTTCAGTACGATGGGACACTCTGTTCTGGTTTTTCAGGGCCAGGTTTTTATATGATTTTCAGCAAGTGTTTTATTTCTAGTGTTTAGTGGCTTGAAGATGCTGATGCTTGACAGCATTAAGGTTCTGTAAGATGCCACATCCAGTAGTTAGAAAACATTTAAAGCGTGAGCTCTGTGGGATCCTGTGGGATCTCACAAATGCATGTGATGTGTGTTTGTAAGCAGAGACATGGAAGCTGTTTGCAGAGGGGGAGCACAAGGCCTAGATCAGCATCACTAATCTACAGCTGAGATCCTGACACTTGAAAAAAGAAAACTCTCATGGCAAATTAGGAAAGAGTCATCTGTTTAAAATCATTGTGTTGCTTCTGTTTAACCTTTGTGTGGGGGAATGGGAATGGACTGTGCTGTCAAACTTTCAGTAATTGGAGTATTCCAGCATGAAAACAAATCGCTAGGAACATCAGGCTTTGTTCAAATCCATTTTTCTGTCTCCAGATCCTCGTGATCTCTCTGAACCCAGAACATGCATTCTGAGCAGCTGCATGACACCCCAGTTCCTGCTGTCCATGTACTGAGGCAGTTGTTGACCTTTAGCACAATATCTGTGTCATTGTCTGGTGTCTCTCTGCTCCTGGAATGGCTGGGCACAGTTTCACCTGGTGCTAGGGCATACCTGGGCTATTGTGACAACTCTAGAGCTGCTTTCTCCCTGTAACCATGTGCAAAGATGAAATGTTCTACTGTGTCAAAGCACAAGAGAGCCAATGAATTGATCCTGTCTCCTGACCAGGGAAGTGTGTATAAACTCCAGATTGTAATGGGTTTTTTTTGTAGCTTTACTTTCTCAATGACTTCAGCATATTTAAAGGGACAGACTGGTTTGTTCATCCAGCAATGTCAGTGTGGCTTACTCGTGTGTGCAAATACATGGGACACCTGCTTGTGTTGCCTCACACTGTGTGTGACTCCTCACCCCCATGTGGTTTGCAGCCTGTTGGAGCCCCGGGGGGGGCACTGCTCAGCCCCCTCAGCTAGGACAGGCCAGTGGTAGTGCAGCCTGCCATGGCCTTACTGCTCTGTCCACCTCTGGCACTGTTGCACAGACACTACATGCTGCCTGCGTTCAGTCTGAAGCTGCATTTTAACCTTTTGTCCCCTTTCAGTTCTCTGAAGCATGATTTCAACTCACCCATACTCTGGTGCTGTAGAGGAGAGGTATATTAACCTGCTACTGCAGTCCCTAGTTCACCAGGAACTGCTGCAGTTACTTTTATTTAGCAAACTTGCTTGTGCCTAAAATAAGGAAACTAAACTAGAATGTGTGAATCCTTGTGGGGGACCAGGTCACTGTTTAGTTAACTGGCCTATAGCTAAACTTGATGTGTTTGGTGTTGATATACTTCACTGCTTTCAGCGTTTATGGCATCCAAACACTACCAATTGTTAACCTGTGCGTTACTCTCTGCATGTGAACAACTGATACAATTACTGAACTTTGTAAATAAGTGACTTTTTTTATTTAGGTGGATGCAATATGTTGGTTTACTGCTCTTCAGCTTTATTCAATAAACTTCTGTTTTGAGGGTTGTATTGACACTGAACTGACTGACTTGAGTTGATGTGGCTGGAAGCAAGTGATGGGCTGTGTGTGTCTCCTCTCCCAAAGATGCAGTGGGGACTGAAGGATTGGTAAATACCTGAGGTGATTTATGTGCTGTGCTTAACTATTCCAGTGCAATGCTCATGAAACCACCTTTGAAGCCTGGGGCTTGCCCAGCTTTCCCGAGTCAGTCTGAGCAGATTCCAGAGCTGCTCAATGGGTGTGAAAAGCACTGGTCAGCTGAAGGCTCTGGAGACAAATGCCTGTCTGCCAGCTTTGTCTTGTGTCAAGCCTAGAGTAAACCCTTTGTTTTCCTAGCACAAGTGTCAGCTCTAGCAGTGCCTGATCATTCACTGCCAGTTAAAGCAGAAAGATTTTTATCTTGCTGGAAAGTGAGGCTTTTGGTGACTGAGATCTTGAGCAAAATCTTGGCTGTGATTTTGATCTGAAGATTCACTGACTGTCCTCCCCAAAGGCTTTTGTTGCATTCCTGTCTCTGAGGTCACTGATTAATTTAAGGGACTGTATGGTGACAGATTGGATGTGGTGTTTTAGACCTTGCCTCCATGTAAGGTTTCAAAACTGAGCTGTAACAGAGTAGTCTTTAGGCTAAGTTAGTTACAGGTTAGTTGTCAGGCTGAGTGGAGTTAACATCCTTCAGGTGTCACTCAGCTGTGGGAAGGACTAGCGAGCTCTTGAGTAAAGATCATGTCTGTATTTCTTTGTTTTGCATACAGGAAACTCCGAATCTCCGTGCAGTTCACAGTCAAAGCAAAATGCCTCTAGACACACCATCTGCAAACAGTATTAGTGCACTGGGCTTTGACACTGGTTGGTCTGGTACCAGTACCAATCAGCTCTGGTAGGAACTGGCCAACAGCTCTTTGCTTGACGTGGTATTGCAGTAATAGTTTCCATTTCCACCTGTAAATAGCAAGGAGAACCACATGGGCAGCCAGTGCTGGTTGCATGGCCTCACACCATGCCCCACCTGGGTTTCACAGCTATTCCTGTGCTGTTCTTCAGATGTCCTGAGTTACTCACATGGCAGAAATGAGACTCCAGTGTGGCTGTTTGATCCCAGAGCAGAGGATTGTACTGGTTCTGTTTCAGGGCTTGATTACTTTGCCAGCTCTTCCCCTTAGAAACTGAAGTATAAGAAGTCTTTCCAGAGAAGTGAGGCTGTTCTTGAGACCTCTGGCTTTGGACTGAAAAAAACTCCTCCCTCATCTGGCAGAGTTATGGCCAAGGTTCAGTCTTCTCTGTTCTAACAAAGCTGTGAGCCCAGGCCAGGCATTGGCAGAGGTGTTTGCTGAACTTGGAGGCTGTAGCTGTGTTCTTCTAGGCATCTAGTCCCATGATGATTTGTCTCAGGTGCTGTGGTGAGCCTGGACAGTAAAAAGAGGCTGATTAAAAGGCCCATTCTTGTAGTAAAAGTTGCTTCTGGGGGTGCATTTGAGTAACATAAATGACTTGTCATTGATAGCCACAGTCCTGAAACTCTCCTCTGATGTAGGCCTTGACTGTTGACATATTAAGGAATTCACATCTTGTGAAAAGGCAAACACTGAGCCAGAGAGAGCTCTTGGTGGTGAATATCCACACAAACTTTGCTGATCCTGTGGGTGTTGGCACTGTGTGGTGTCCTGGTGATTTCAGATAGCATCAGCTCTCAGTCCTTGAGGTTGGCTTTGTTCAGGGCAAGGGTTCACCTCCTGATCATGGAGCAGCAGTGACTGGATTAGAAGTGTTTGTGCTTGCACCCACAGCTCCAGGCTGTGTAGGAGTTTTCCTTGGGGTGTCCATGTCCTGTGGATGGTGTTTCCCCAGGTGCAATTACAGTGCAGGTTAATCTTCATCACCCAGTACAGGTCTGAGCTGCTGCACAGGGCAGTTCTGTCCCACAACAGGGAGGATGCACAAATGTGGAGCTGTTTCATGATCTGTGGAACTGATAGTTTAGTTTCTTACGTTTTCTCTTTGCATCACAATGGAAACTGGTTGGAAAAGGCAACGTTGCAAAGGTCCTTTGGGGATGCTGACATATCAAACTGCATAATTTTCACTTTGTGGTAGAAGAAAGGCCAAAGAAAATGCCTTACTCAGTCTGTTTGATACAGGAATGCTGTGCGGGGGTCTGTAATGACCTGAAGTATGGCTGAGCTGGATTACCAAGCTCTTGCCTTCCTCAGGTTTCCTTCTGTCGTCGCTGTGGCTCTGCAGTGGCATGGCATGGTTTGCTTTGTGTAGGCTCTGTGCTTCCTCCCACAGCATGCCCAGCTCTGCTCCCCCTGCCTTGCTCCTGCACTGACCCTGACCAGAGTGGGGATTCCCAAAAGGAGTGTAAATCAGGATATTTCAGTCGTATTTCTGAGGTGACACAACCCGAGAGCAGGGAATCGTATCGAGGGAGAAGCAATGTGTGAATGCCTGAGACTCCTGTGCTTCAGGGCTTCTGTTCCCCAAAATGAGTGTGGAATTTGTCTCTAGATCCCAAGCTTTCAGTGAGTGCTCTTTAGGGCTGCAGATGGTGGGAGTTCAGGTGTGTCTCGGTGGAACACGAGGGTTTTCTCTCACATGCCACTCCAACAGCAAACACAGCACAGCACTCAGAGGGGTTTGCACACACTCTTGGAAGGGAGGAGTGAAACACTTGGTGGTGTTGATACCCTCACAGAGGAAGGTGGGTAAGTAGACCTTTGTGCCAGGATTAGTGCCTTTTAATTATGACATGACAGGTTTTATTCTGTTAAAGGCAACATCTATCATTGTGATAATTTTGAAGTGCTTCAATAAAGTGTTGTTGAAAACCATTTTTTTTCATATTCCTCTGTAGTAGAACAGTTGATTTATTATTGTTAGAAACATATAACCCTCATTAGCTAATTGTGGGAGACATTTGGTGGCTTTAACTACATCAGTTTATCTGGAGAGAGTGACCATAAGCCTTGTGCTCTGTGGGGACAGCTCTGAGCTCAGCCTGTGCAGCTCCCAGTTCTGCTCACAGCTCTGCTCACGGTGCTGGGAGCATTTCTTGGTCTTATTGGTGTTTGTCTCTGAAAAGACTCGTTGGATGGAAGTTCCTAAACCATATTATTCATCAGACAAAGCAAATATGTGAGTGGAGAAAGACAAAGTTGTTGTGGTGTGTGTGTAATTTAGAGCTGAACTTGAGTATCACGAGCGTCTCAGTGAAATAAACTGGTAAGTTGCTTGTGTATGGTTGTGTTAATTTGGGGGGGTGGATAGTTCAGTCTTTGCAATAAGGAATTTCCCTCATTTTTTAGAGTCGGTATTGAATTCCCTTCTTGCTGCTGATAACATTTAGAAGATCCATGAATTCCACAGGCTGAGGAAAGGGACTGTAGGAGCAGCCTGAGGCTGCTGTGTTTGACCAGGCTGGAGGACTTTACCAGGAGTCACTGCACAGAAATCTGCATGGACCACTGAATTGTGATCTGTACTTTCTTTGGGTTTAGATTTGTTAATTCTGCTGTTTCTGTTGCAAGAATTGGGAAACGAAGAGCAAGTTCCAACTTCTGAGCTAGTACCAAATACAGGCCAAAGACACATCATTCATGTCTGGTTGTCTCTATGCATAATAGTCTATTTTTTTGCTCTGTGTATGGATTTTGCATATTATTTGTCACATTTCTTCCTGTCAAATCAGGCACTTTCATGCCTTTTGGCTTAGTGAGAAATGGTCCTGCTCACAGTCACATCTGATGCTGTTGAGTTCCTGGGGCAGCTCTGAGCTGTGTTTCCACTTTATCTCCCCCAGGTGTAGTTTCTTTACTGACTTTGCTCTTCTTTTTCCTGTCTTCAAGAGGGGTTGGCTTTAACAGTAGTTTCTGATTCTTGTTTTCACTTTCACATCCACAAGTGGCAGTTGTCAGCTCTCCTTTTGCACTGCTTTCTGAGCACCCCCAGCTGCCTTAGACCTTCTTCCCTCTCCC